TTTTTTTTTTTTTTTTTTTTTTTTTTTTTGTTAACTAAAATTTTGAAATTATTTTGGTAAGTTCATTTCCAATCTCATCATTATTTTAAACAAATGTTATCGTTATGATATGGTGTAATTTCAAAACCCACGGCATTTAGAAACCAAAGAACTTCTGGAAACAAATCCTGATACATTTTCAAAATGCTCAAATTCAATTATTTTTGGATTTTGTAATCAAAATATGAAGTTTTAATGAAATTGTGGATTCTTTTTTCTATTTCTAAACTAAGCTTTGTCGATATTTTGGTTTACTAAATTGAAATCAATTGATATCACATAACTATCAGTTCATAACTAATTTACTAAATTAAATTAGTTATGAAACCTTTTTTTTGGAGAAAGAAAGAACTATTCAACTAATATCAATCATATGAATAGAATCGTGTACATCTGTTTGTTATGTTTTTATGTATTTTCTTGTGTTTTATGTGCTTTAGTATAGTTGTTTTTAAGTTCGTTTAAGTGCCAACCGGTCCGTGTTATCGTGTTTTGTGTCTTTTTGTTCTATTTGTGCGTTTTTATGTTTAGTCGTATTTTCTTGCGTGCTTTGGTGATTGATTAGGTCTACCGTGTTCAAGTTTGAGGAGACGATCCATTTCCGAATTATTTCTAAGCCACCCGAACCATAGCCTTGCAATTGGTCGAGCCGTCCAGACTATTCCCGAGTCAATACGCGCGAGATTTAGCCTCCTTGTACACCAGGCGCACTCGTGGCGAGTTATGGTTTGCGAGCCGTGAGACAGGCCCGAACCACTCGCTACCAAGCTTAATTCGCGCCCCGAGATACGACACCACGCGAGACTCCACCAGCGCCCGCACACTCGTTGCGGGACTTCCTTCGCGACCCGCAAGACCGCCAGCAACACGCCTCAGCTAGCTCTGTAGCACTCGCTACAAACGGACATTGGCGCCCAACAAAGCGGCGCGCGCGGAACCATCACCTCGGCACTCACAACGACACACGATTGGCAAACTGCGAAGCGGCACACGCACATAGCCCGAACTCGCTGCGAGCCTTCACTCGCGTCCCGTGAGACGCACACTCCGGGCAGCCTAGGCCACACTCGTTGCGAGTACAGCTGCAAACGAGCCGAGTCGAATATTGACCTTATCGAGCAGGATTGGGTTTTTTTTAGCTGCTCGAGCTCGAGCTCGGTTTTTTAGGCTCGAGCTCGACTCAATATAAAATTACAATAGTTCGAGCTCGGCTTGAAGCTCGACTCGAAATCAAAATGCTCGAGCTCGGCTCGAAAATTAGGTAAAATTACCATTAAACTATGCTAATATATATAATAAGGGGCATTTTAGTAATTAACGTTATCTCGAGCCGCTCGACGAGCCGCTCGACAAGGCAAAATATAGGCTCGAGCTCGACTCGAGTTCGTGCTTGAGCTTGTAAGAAAATGGGGAAAAAACGGGTGCGGTCCCACTAGCATGAAGCGCACCAAGAGGAAAAACCCATATGAAGCCCAAATGGGGTTTCATCCCAAAACCAATTGGTGGAAGAAGGAGTAGCCCATTAGACTTATAAGGTGGGTCTATTTTCAATGTATGAACGATGTGGGACAACTCACAAGTGATATTCTAACACGCCCCCTCACTTGTGAGTCTTTCGGAAGCCCAAGCCCATAGAACCGGCTCTGATACCATGTAAGAAAATGGGGGAAAAACGGGTGCGGTCCCACTAGCATGAAGCGCACCAAGAGGAAAAACCCATATGAAGCCCAAATGGGGTTCCATCCCAAAACCAATTGGTGGAAGGAGGAGTAGCCCATTAGACTTATAAGGTGGGTCTATTTTCAATGTATGAACGATGTGGGACAACTCACAAGTGATATTCTAACAGAACTGCTCGAGCTCGACTCGAGTTCGGTCAAACTCGAGCTCGAGTCGAGCTTTGACTCGAACGCTTACGAGCGGCTCGACTCGTTTGCAGCCCTAGCTGCGAGCTTCCTTTGGCGGTCTGCGAAACGTGCCCTTGTGTGCTATTTTCACTCAAAACTAGCAGCGAAATGATTTTCAAGACCGACGAACTACAGATTTACTAAAGAAGGAAAATAAATAAAGGGAATATTAACTTATTTATTAAGTTCCGTTATATATTGTTAGAATATCACTTGTGAGTTGTCCCACATCGTTCACACATAGAAAATAGACCCACCTTATAAGTCTAATGGGCTACTCCTCCTTTCACCAATTGGTTTTGGGATGGAACCCCATTGGGCTTCATATGGGCTTTCCTTTTCCCCTAGTTTATTACATGGTATCAGAGCCCACTTTGTGCCTGGGTTAGAGACATGATATCAGAACTCACAAGTGAGATGTGGGACAACTCACAAGTGATACCATGTAAGAAACTGGGGGAAAAGGAAAGCCCATATGAAGCCCAAATGAGGTTCCATCCCAAAACCAATTGGTGGAAGGAGGAGTAGCCCATTAGACTTATAAGGTGGGTCTATTTTCTATGTATGAACGATATGGGACAACTCACAAGTGATATTCTAACACGCCCCCTCACTTGTGAGTCCTGATATCATGTCTCTAACCCAGGCACAAAGTGGGCTCTGATATCATGTCTCTAACCCAGACACAAAGTTGGTCGGGCTCTGATATCATGTCTCTAACCCAGGCACAAAGTGGGCTCTGATACCATGTCTCTAACCTGGCTCTGATACCATGTAAGAAACTGGGGGAAAAGGAAAGCCCATATGAAGCCCAAATGTGGTTCCATCCCAAAACCAATTGGTGGAAGGAGGAGTAGCTCATTAGACTTATAAGGTGGGTCTATTTTCTATGTATGAAAACTGGGGGAAAACGGGTGCGGGCCCACTAACATGAAGCGCACCAAAGTAGGGAAAACCCAAATGAAGCCCAAATGAGGTTCCATCCCAAAACCAATTGGTGGAAGGAGGAGTAGTCCATCAGACTTATAAGGTGGGTCTATTTTCTATGTATGAACGATGTGGGACAACTCACAAGTGATATTCTAACATGCCCCCTCACTTGTGAGTCCTGATATCATGTCTCTAACCCAGGCACAAAGTGGGCTCTGATATCATGTCTCTAACTCAGGCACAAAGTTGGTCGGGCTCTGATATCATGTCTCTAACCCAGGCACAACTCACAAGTGATATTCTAACATGCCCCCTCACTTGTGAGTCCTGATATCATGTCTCTAACCCAGGCACAAAGTGGGCTCTGATATCATGTCTCTAACCCAGGCACAAAGTTGGTCGGGTTCTGATATCATGTCTCTAACCCAAGCACAAAGTGGGCCCAAATGAGGTTCCATCCCAAAACCAATTGGTGGAAGGAGGAGTAGCCCATTAGACTTATAAGGTGGGTCTATTTTCTATGTATGAACGATGTGGGACAACTCACAAGTGATATTCTAACATATATTAATTGGTGTATATTGAGGTAGATTTCATCTAGATTTGTGTTCTTATTTAAGTAGCACGCTTGAAAAGGGCCTTGGCACGGCTGAAGATTGAGGACGTGCCATTAGATTAGAAGGAAGAAGAATATTGAGAATATGTATCAGCTGGAACAAGTTCTGTCAAATTTTGCAATTATAAAAAAAAAAAAAAAAGTCATGCACCTACATGTAGGGGTGAGCATTATTCGGATAAAACCAAAAAAACTGACTCAACCGAACGGAATAGTGTTGTTCGGTTCGGTTTTTTTATTTCCTAATTCGGTTCGTTTCATTTTTTCAAAAAAATCGGTTTATCAGTTCGGTTCAGTTTCAAAAAAATAAATTCGATTTAACCAAACCGAACCGAATTTATGTTACTAATTAGTAAGCTTTAATAGTAGTGGTCCATTGTCCAACCCAATAGCTAAATAATATAAATCAAATTTTAGAT